ATATTTTCTAAAAGAGTTTCATCTCCATGGAGGCAGTGCTGCATTTACCTAATGTGGTATTTTCATCTATGAAAGAAAGATAAGATAGCCATGGAAATGGGTAAATGAATGCTAATATACATAGACAGAATATAAAACAACTTAGATTGCTCTTGATGTAAATTGGTTTTGGGGGATTAAAAAGATATGCAGGATTCTCTGTGTCTATTGCTATTTGTTGTTTGATTATCTGTTTACCTGGAAACTAATATTATGCAATACTGAAAGGAAGCTAAGCATTTCAATTATTACTAAATTTTAATTTAATAACAATTAATTGTGAAATATTATTACTACTACCATTTTTCAAGTGTTCACAATATGTCAGGTATTTTAATAAGCATTTAATCAATACCATCTAACTTAGTGTACTCAACTTTACGGTGAGGTAGGCATTATTATTTTCAGAAGAGGAAACAGCATCAGAGAGATTCAGTGACTTGCTGAACGTCACACGTTAAGTATCTGAAGCAATATTCAAATAAATATATTCCTGATTCACAAATCTGTTCTCCTTTCACTGTCTTAAACTTCTGATTTTCACGTGGCTCAGTGGTTTGGGGTGGTCTTGAAGATACTAAACCTAGTTATGTGAGTTCCTTAAGTTCAAGGATATGAGGATGATTGGCAGAAATTAGAGTTATCAAGGATTTTATCCGCATTGGTCGAACAGATAAAAGCATGACACAAAGGAAAAGAGAGTATAGAAAATATAGTCAGACCCTCCTCTTGTTTTCTAGGTCCATGGGAGCTGGGATGGATGGTAGTTTTTGTCATCATTTTAGAGTATAGCAGTGATAGCATAGAATTATATAGTAATCAGTTGCTTTATAAAATCAGAAGTTTCTTGAAGAGATAGCTTCAGATAATCCTTTTCTGCTTAAAGCAGAGTAAACACCACAGTTGAATGAAAAGCACAAATGCAGTTAGAAACCAGCAATTTTAGTTGTGAATTTGCCATTTAGTATGTAAAACAGGGAAATAAATAAACAGCTAAAAAAACTAGAATTATAGGACTAGTTCTATAAGTTGCTTAAACCCCCTTAGACTTAATATTCCTTCCCTGTCAAGAAGCAGTACAGATTATTTATTTTATCTACATTACAGAGTTTTTAAGAGAGACATAGTAAGTTTTGAAACATTGTAGACTGTATTAAACAATTTTTGTTAGAAATAATTTCTTCAGTTGAGGCCAATTTTTTAAATAACTTTTGAGTTTTTCTTTCATTATTACAAAAATAATATATATTCATGGTCCAAACTATGAAAGTTACAGAAAAAAAAATTCTAAATCTCTTATTTAGTGGCATTCTAGAGCTGCACTGTAGTCGTTCATTCTGAAAGTCAATTGTGCGCATGTCTTTAGAATGATATGTTCAGTGATGTTATGTTGGTAGCTTTAAAAAAACCATGATGATATCATTTACACGATGGAAATTGGTAGATATTACCAAGCAGGGCTTTCTTTTTTGGAAACGGTCGTTATACATTTGTCAGTACACCGCTGCCCACAATTCTACAGCTTTGCCAATTTGGTAATTTAAATCAGATTGCTATCCTTTAAGTAAGTCAAAAATTGAAGGAGATTTAAAATAAGCAGATAGTCTGCATTCAGCCTTTAATGTGTCATTCTCCAAATGAGAAGATAGAGTCTGAATAAATGAGAAAACATGCTTTATAAGCCTTTACTGCAAAGACCTGCATTGTTTTATGTCTTTTGCATTATTTGGGCATGTAATAGTTTATACAACCCTTGTAGTTTTTTCTCTCTCTCTCTCTTTTTAAGAATTTAACCACCAAATGCCAACAGTCATAGACCTTTAGAGGCTTTGCCTGTACTTATGTTGTTTCATTAATGTCTCCTTCTTAATGAGAGCATTTCTAATCTCTACATAGATGGCCAAGAAGTAGAGTTATTGGCCTTCCCCTTAGACATTTGAATTCCTCTTCAACTTCCTAATTATGTATAGTTCCAAGACACTACTTTGGTAGTAAAATAGGACCAGGAGTACCCACCCAGCTTGCCTTTTATCCTCTTATTTTATGGAACTATTTTCTGCTTTCACGACGCTTGAACATCAGAAGCTAATTTTTTATGGATTTCAGAAGTTCAATGAGGACTTTTGAAACATAAGACTTATTTTCTCCATACTTACCCATGTTCAGTCAATATACACAAACATTTTAAATGACATTTTGTCCACCAGAGGGCACTCATATTGTTCCAAGTATAGAGCTAAGGATTATGGCAATTTGAGGAGTTGGAGAAATGAAAAACCCCCCAGGACTCATCAAGTCTTCACTAAATGCCGAGCAGAGCAATACAAATCAATTTTTTATTTCACTTTATTTCCACTCCTCCCATATTCGTACACCCCCCCCCCACCCCCTGCTATATACACCAAAAGAATCTGGACAAGTATATTTCTCAATTCACAAAAGAAGTGGGGGGAAAAGGGAGAGAACAGGGTGAATTTCTGCATTCCACATTTTCAAGTACCAGCTTTGCAAAAGGGCATATTTTTCTTTAAAAAGTGGGTGTATGGAGAGTGTGGAAGAATAACAAGAAATTGATTTTCATAAAGTTACCTCCTTTGTGCTTTAAAATGATACATCTCAAGTTGTTTTCCAGTATGAAGCTGATGAACTGCATGCTTCAGATGACACAGCTTCTGCCCTTCTCTGGGAACTTGACACTTCTTAAGCACTAGAAAATCCAGAGGCTGCCACAAGGCTGCGGTCTAGTGTGTTGACAGCCTCAGCCACAAGTTATTCTGACTTCTCACAAAAGCAAAATAAACTTGTGATTTCTGAGACATGTTGTGTACCTCATTAGTGGTTTCAACTAAGTGCTGTTTATTGATCTTAAAGTCTTTCTCTTCTCAATGTAAGCAGATTTCCACCTATGTCTTCATCCTTGCTGAACATTTTAGGATTATGAACCCGCTCCATTCATGGACACTAGTAATTGCTAAATTTAAGCCATTGCACCTGAGGTAAGGATTCTACCTCATTCCAGTTATACTACTCTTTCATGTCAAACATTTGCCTCATGACATTTTGTTTCCTACAGGGCATTTTTGTTCATACATTTCAAAATTAGACAGATTAAAAGATGCATTACAATATTTCTGCTTCAGAATGGCTCACCAGTTAAAAGTCTTAGCATTTAAGAGTGCTCAGTTAAGCCAACATAGAATGATCTGAAATCTAGCTTTCAATATTTAGTACCTATGTAACACAAACAAACATACCACAAGTACTATACTAATGGAAGGAAAAAAATAAGGTTTTTGTCCATTTGGAAAATCGTGGCAAAGTAATTACCAAAGAATGACTAATCAATATTCATAAACCTGATCTTTACAACATGGCCCAAAGTGCCAGGTACTGTAAAGTTTTGAAAAAATTGGACCGTTGGCACTGCAAAGACCAAAAGCAAAATTGACCTCCCTTCCCCAATTCACATCTGGGTTCAGTTTGTTCTCAGTAAGAAGAGCCTAACCAATCATGCTGACTTAGTCTCGGTTCAGATGGGAAAGCAGCAATGTTATATGAAAGGAGTAGGAAGAGGTGACTATTCCTTTAAGTCCTCCCCTGAGGGAGAAATGCTGTTTTATTATGTTTGGACAGTCCTTACATAATTGCTTAGTATTAGGGAATCGGCTGGTTTGTTGCTGAGTGGTGCCTATTGGGCTTAGATAGTCCCTTTTTGAAGTATGCAGTTTACTGGTCAGAAGCCTTCAAAAATAAAAATAAAGTACATTATTACAACGGCTTTGTACTGGGTAAGATTAAGCTGAAAAGAAATAACTTTCTTTCCAAAACATGAGATAAAATGCAGAAAGAATTTCATAATTCAGGTTTAACATGGGAAATATAGTTGATATAAAAGTTATTATAAAATATAGGCAGAGAATGGGAAATAGGTACAAAATTAAGAAAAATGTAAAATAATCATGATATACACTGAGTCTTTTTTTTATGAATTTTTCCCGTGGATGCCACAGTTCACAATTACTTTGAAAGTCAGAATTTTTGTGGGTATATTATCTTCAAGTTTGAAAAGGTTTATTCCAGACAAGGAATTATGAAATAATGCCAGACCTGGAATTATCATAAGACTAAGTGCCACTTCACTGATGAGATAAAAATGCTAAGAAGGTCTCTATTAAATAACAGTAATGTTAGTAAGAAAATAGTAGCATATTTCATATCTGTTGCCTTGTTTTTAATCCCCTCAGTCCTAGTTAGCACCTACTTCTTTTGTCAGATCTTTGTTCAATTATCACTTCCTTGGGGAGGCCTTCAAATACCTCCTTGATTAAGTCAAATCCCTCTATAATATGCTTTCAAAGCACCATGCCTCTTTCCTCTAGGAGAGAGCAAAGTTGCAATTTTCCATTTATTTTTATAGTTATTTTATAAATATCTGTGCTCTCACTGTATTAATGCTCCACAAGGATACTGACTGTGGCTGGTTTTGATGTCCATGGAATCACCAGCATCTAGTATAGTGCCTAGCATGCAGGGGGTACTCAATGCCTATTTATTTATTAAATTATAAATGAATGGTCAAGTGAGGCAATGATAAAATTAATGTCATATTACAAAGTAGCTAACAAACTCAGAAAAGCCAGTTAGCTAACCCAAGATAACAAAGTCATTTAGTAACAGGGCTGGGTGGGACTCAACTCTGTGCTACTTTCTTTACCCAATGTGTCTTATAAGAAAAACTATGAGTCAAAGCATAATGCTTCAAATAAACACAACAAAAGGTAGAGTAACTAACTAAATTTGTTTTCCAACTAAGGTAGTAAAATAAATTGAGTGTTCTTTGCTATTTGCACAAACCATCAGCAATATTCTGGGTGAAGAGCTATTTGCAAAGCTGAATTAAACATCATTCAACCAAGTGAAAATGTCTCCTCAGAAAATAGGTATGTATTTTTTGAAAGAGCTCAGAAAAGGATAGTATTTTATTTTGTTAAAAAAAAAATCTGCATCTGCTTAAACATTTCCATTCAAAAATAAGTATATCCGTTAAACAAAAACAAGGGTGTTGGTTTTCTTTGCTCATCTTTAAACAATGATGTAAACATTCACACATTTAATTTTCATCACTGATAATTAGAGTTTATTACAGAGGAGAAAATCATGAGTGAGAAAAGAGAATTAAGTTGCATAAAGTCTGTGTCAGGGCTTGCATTAGTCTGCTTGGACTGTTGTCACCAATACCACAGACTGAGTGGCTTAAATAACATTTATTTTATCACTGTTCTGGATGTTAGACCCCAAGATCAAGATATCAGCAGGCTTTGTTTCTTCTGAACCTCTCCCCTTGGCTACAAAAGGTTGTTGTCTCCACGTATCTTCATGTAATTCTTCTTTTTTCTAGACCTGGGTCAAAGGCAAAGAGAGAATCTTGAGAAGAGCAAAAGAAAAGCGACTCATGTAACAGGGACTCTCGATAATGCTAACAGCTGATTCCTCATCAGAAGCTATGAAGGCCAAAAGCAGTGGGATGACATATTCAAACTGCTAAAAGAAAAATTAAAATAATCATAAAGAAATGCTATGAGCAATTGTATGTCAACAAATTAGGTTACCTGGATGAAACGAACAAATTTCTAGAAAGACACAAGCTACCCAAATTCTCTCTGTAACCTTTAAGACCTGTATGTTCTTGTCCTTACTTAATGTCCTTATCTCTCATTAGGCTCCCTTCAATTTACTGTATCTCAAATATATTTGCTCTCATTCAGTTCCTAACTTCAAGAACTACACAATGTTTTACTTCTTTACCATGGTGATTATTCCATTTTTAAGGACTCAGCTTAAATGCAATTTCCACAAAGACACTTTCTTAAAACCTTCACACTAAGTAACTACTCATTAAGGCAATACTAATGCTCTAACGAAGAAAATGTCTTTGACAATACCTTTCCCTCAAATACCTGTTGGGCTCCTTGGTAGGCTTTTAATCTAGTTACTAATCAGTTCCATGTTCTAGTGAGTATGTCCAAGGTTATTTCCTAGATAAAATTCTCAAGCCCAATTTAGGTATTTGCTTTCCATCTTCCAAGGCAATCTCTTTCACATTAATAGATGATATCTTGAGACCAGTGAAATCATAGACTTGGGTAGGAAGGCCACATACCTTTAATCTGTACTTCCAGAGCCCTGTCTAAATGAGTCACTGTTACTCAAAACCTCTTTAGATTTTATCTATTATGGTTCACGGTTGAAGTGGGACTGTTAAAAGAATCAAACATTTTCAGTATTCTCTTATTGTCTGGCAACTATCCAATTATTTCTGGATTTAGCTTTATTTTCCCAGTAACATCTTGGTAAAAGGTGGAAATGAAAACCGGTTTATGATTATTCTGAGTTTTTCCAATTGTATCCCCCAGAATATAATTTATCAACCCCAACACTATTGACATGTTAGATCAGATAATTAAGCATTTTAGGCATCTATCCTGTGCATTGTGGGATATTTGTCAGCATCCTTGGCCTCTACCCACTCTGTGCTTATAGCACCACCCCACCTTAGCCATGACAAACAAAAATATCTCCAGACATTGTCATATGTGTCCTGGTATACAAAATCACCCATCAATTAATAACTGAAACCACAGGCTGAATAGGTCCATTTTCTGCCTTCAAGTTATCATAGCCAATAACTTTACCAAATATTTGGTCAAATTAATAGAATGGGCCTTCATTTATCCAACTTTTAAGAGTTTTATGGCTGCCTAACTTATTACCGATAGGTCAATGTCACCTATTTGAAATGTTTGTTATATGTAGATAGTACCTCATTTCAAGTTTATGTTGCATCGTAACTTCAGAATTAGTTTCTATATTAATTATTGCAATTCTAGCTTCATAATGAGCACATATCAGCATCACTGTGGCTAAAGCCAATATAAAGTTATTTTACACATGTAATAGTCCAATGCCAGTGTTTGGTAGGTGACTTCTGTGTGGTGTTTCAGAGAGCCAATCTGCTTCCAATATGTGGTTCTGCCATTTTTAACACATAGGTTCAAAGGTCATCATGTTCATATGTTTCAAGTCAAAGCAAAAAGAACACAGAATATTGTATAAGGGAGAATTTTATAGGCTAGACTGTGTAATGGCATATATTATTTTTGCTCACATTTTATTGATTATAATTCAATTATATTGTCGTATCCAACTAAAAATGTGTCTGCATTTGGGATGGAAAATACAGATTACTTACGTGCCCAAGAACACAAGGGAATAGGTTTGATGATAGCTCTCAGTGCCTGCTATTTTAACTAGTTATATCCTCTCATTGTACCATACCCTTTTTTAAATGTCACTTATTAGAATTATAATAAAGTAATTATTTAAACAACTATTGGTCTATTGTCCATCTTGCCTCTAAATCAGTATACTCCATAAAGGCAAGAACCGCATCCATTGTATTTAATGTTGTATCCTTAGCAAAGTTGCTAGTTTTCTGAACCTTGCAAAGTTCTTGGCATTTAGTACTTTTTCAATAAAAATGTATTAAATAAATAAATAAAATAATGTAAAAGTGGATGAATAAACAAATGATGATTTGGTCCTTGACATAGACCTAGCCTAGCAAGTTATCCTTTGCCAGAGACATATCTAGCTTTCCTCCTGACCTCATGGTTTCATGTTTACTCTGCTTAATTCAAGTAGTGGCAACTGGTTCTGTCCTTGTAACCCATGGTGAAGAAGTGAGATGGTCATGTAGTCTCCAGAGCCCAGCTTTTCCTAACTGTGTTGGTTCCTGAGGCTCCTTCTGCTTCTTGTGATGGTGAATTTTATGTGTCAACTTGATTGGGCCATAGTGTCCAGATATGTGGCACCCAGATACATTATTCTGGGATTTTTCTGTGAGGGTGTTTTTGGATGAGACTAATATTTAAATCGGTGGACTTCGAATAATGTAAGTTACCCTCTATGATGCTGGTGTGCTTCCTCTAATCAGCTGAAGGCCTGGATAGAACAAAAGACTAACCTCCCCCCAGCAAGAGGAAATGCTGCAGGAGACAACCTTTGGACTTGAACTGTAGAATCAGCTCTTCTTCGGGTCTCCAGCCTGCTAGGCCATTTTGCAGATTTTGCACTTGCCAGTCTCCATAATTATGTCAACCAATTCCTTCAAATAAATCTTTCTATGTACTGTATACATACATCCTATTGGTTCAGTTTTTCTGGAGTATCCTAATACACTGCTTATATACATTATCAATTTTAGACTTCACTCTAAATAGAAGTATTGACCTTATAGTTGGCATGAATACCTATTTTCAAACAGTCTTCACAGAGTTGCATTCATGACCAAGATCAAAAGAAGTCTTTAAATCTGTAGGAATTAAATTACATTTACATATTACCATACTTATTTATTTCACTTGGTTTTAAGCCTTACAAAGGCAAATACTGTATTATATCTTTTTCTGCATCCCTAGCATCTAGCCCATAGTAGATTTTAAAATTGTGTATTGAATGAAATAAATGAATAAATTTTAATACTTATATGCAGGACTTCATCCCAAACCATTCCTGTCATCTAGCACAAAGCAAGGGAAGTCCTGGTACAATCCTCAAATCATCACCTTTATCCACTTTCCCATGTTATTAATGACATTCTATATATTGTGGCTGCAGAGAAGTCTTTCACTGTGTCCTCCCAGGGACAAACTCAGCCAGTCACACACATAGGGTGTGGGTTTATTTTCCTATAGCAATGCTGTGAAGAGCCAAATAGTAAAGCACAGTTTGCCCACATAGGATGGCCTGAGTTTAAGTTCTAGCTCTACCACTTATTAATCATGCAAGCTTCCTCAGCTGTAATGTGGGGAAAATAATAATACCTACATCATGATGTTGTAGTATGGATGAAATAAAATTATGAATATAAAACATCTACTAAAATGCCTGGCCATAGCAAGAATACAACACACATTAACTATGAATAGTGATTATTGTGTCCTAAAGAGGTCCCAAGGTCAAAGTCAAAACAACACTCTAAACTGACTTTAATCAAAGGTAAGTTAAGAATAAATACTGCACTGTAATGGCATGTCAGAAGAAGAGGTGAAGGAGGCTGAGGAATGAACAATTAGAAACCGAGTAAAATAGGCAAATAGAGGATGGTCTAAAAGAGATCCAGAAATAGAGCATTATTGTCCTGATATTTCTATCTAGGGAGCCCTTATTTGAGCAAACCAGTCTATCTAAAAAGACCACAGTTAGACAGATTGTCACAGTGCTCTAATCACTTCTAACAGGTCATTGGGAGGGCTGGGCCCAGGGCCTAATATCCCCCAGATTCTCCTGTTCATATTAAGGCACAGAGCTTTCCTATTGTGTGTGCTCAGTTTCTGACCAAATTTTTAATGATACAGCATTCATTTCACTGCCTCATTACTACACACCTGTATTAGTCAAGGTCCCAACAGAAAACAGACGGCACACTCAAATTGGAAAAATTAAGGCAAGTTTAGTAAAAGGATTCTTGCTAGAGTTGTGGACAGTATATAAGGAAACTACAAGAACAGTGCATTACCCCCAAGGTGAGTAACAGATGATCACCTCCAGGTCTGAAGAGGCAAGAAAGGGAGTCAGTGGAGAACCTGGAGAGACAGCAAGAGTGGGGCAAATAAGGATACCGAAGAGCTATGGCCTATACTTGAGAGAAACTCCCAGAGTAGGACATGGAAGGAACCAGGATAGTAATACACTGACCCTACTCTGCTTTCTCCTACCAGTCTTCTAGCAATGCCTTAAGCAAACCCAACCAGAAGCAGAAAATGAGGGAGCCCAAGGTCAGCTCTGGAGTTTATAGCAGGGAGGGGAAAAATAGAAAGTGAATCTGGTGAGGCCACAAACATCAAATATCCAGCACATGGCCCTACCTTCCTAAATGTCTGGCACTGCCCCAGAAGGAATAACTTCATATGATTTCTTCAAGATAAAGCCAACAGTCTGTCTTCTCTAATAGCCTCATCTACCTCTCAAACTTACACACTCAACTCTTCCATCAGGGAGAAATCCTTTTGCAGCTGGTATAGTGCTCTTTTGGCTTTTCTTTTCCCAATTACCTTGTTTATTCATAGAAATAATGCACTAGAGGGCCCATCCCTTCGGGCCTTTGAATAAGCTCTAACATGTCAGAACTGGCTGGACTTGTCCATGCCTGGAGCTCTATGACACAATAAAACCCAGTAAGATATACTTGGCACTAAATAGGAGCTGATTAGAATGGAATCCTCCATTGATGACACAGGACCTCAGGTTGTAATTCTGAATGTCAAAAGTCATTATACAAAACTGTATAAAGTACAATACTGGATTTTTTAAAGGAGTTGATTATTTGCATCCTGGAACATGCATCACTGCATATTCCATGTTAACAGTTCCTGAAGTTAAAAAAAAAAAAAAAAACCCGAAGTTTGATAGTTTTGTAAACCAGCCTTGAAATTCTTAGTTCTTAAAACTGGCCACGACCCAAAATGGAAATAGAGAACAAAGAAAATAAACTGTTTTCATAAGTCAGAACCCAGCAGCATCAGAAATCTTGAAAGAGGTTGGAAAACATTTTCAGACTGGTTTTACAACTCCTGTTAGCCTAGTTAATTGATATCACCACCCAAATTTACTTTAACTGGGCTTTGAAAACTTTTGAAATTCATCTTCCTAAATGAATACAGTTCTAAACTCTGTGAAGAATGGTGTATTTTCCTGCCCGCTATTAAACTAACCTGAAATTTTATAGCATGCTAGAAATTCTAGTCAAATCTGAAGAATCACCTTGAAGCCATTAATTACCAGATAATCCTGAAACCAAAGAAAAGACTCATATTTATAGATGAATAAAAGAACTCCCAGGGTGGCCTAACCATAAGTTATTTTCTTGGGACCTTCTTGAAGGTAATATCTCTTGGGTGGCAAGGCTGGCACCAGACAAACTGATGAAGCTGTTTTCATTGCATGGGCTCCAGACGCCTTTGTTGTTTCTATCAGGCTCCCAGGGCAGCCTCGCCCAGGTCTTCTTGATTACCCAGTTCCCTTCTAGTTTAAACATTCCTAGCCCTCTGACTCTTTCTTTTTTTTCTTCTTCTTTTTTTTTTTTAAGATGAAGTCTCACTCTGTTGCCGAGGCTGGAGTGCAGTGGCCTGATCATGGCTCACTGCAGCCTCGACCTCCCCAGGCTCAGGTGATCCTCCCACCTCAGCCTCCTGAGTAGCTGGGAATACAGGTATGCACCACTACTCCAGGCTCACTTTTCTTATTTGTGGAGATGAGGTCTCACCATGTTGCCCAGGCTGGTCATTAATTCCTGGGCTCAAGCAATCCACCCACCTCAGCTTCCCAAAGTGCTAGGATTACAGGCATGACCTACAGCATTGGGCCAGGAAGACTTCTTTATGTGACTGAGTAAAAAAGTTTAAATACTTCCTATCTTCCTTCCCCAATGATATGCTAAAAACTGGTGCTTTAACTACAGTGTGTAGTTTTAAGGAGAATCAGCCATGTTGGAAAACACCTGGACAAACAATCAGGGGGCTTGGGTTCTTGCTCCTCCCCTACCACTAAAAGCTAATGTGACCTTGACAGTGTCACTTTACTTCTTTGGCCTTAGATTCCTCTTCTATAATAAGGTAGTTGAATTTTGTTAGTGATGTCCATGCTGTTTATTTAGCCTTTCTGCAAAATAGAATATTACATGGGAGCTCAATATGTGAAGCAGAAAAAAAGTAGAGCTGCTCTAGTTTGAAGATGATTTCTACAAACCCTGTGCACTTGACCATCACACTTCCCCATATGTCTTAAGTTTACTCTCCTTTCACAGTAAGACCTTTGATTCATGCATGTGGCTCATGATCTCTGAGGTTCTTCTTTCTTTCTTTCTTTTTTTTTTTTTTTTTTTTTTGAGACGGAGTCTTGCTCTGTTGCCCAGGCTGGAGTACAGTGGTGTGATCTCAGCTCACTGCAAACTCCACCTCCCAGGTTCACGCCATTCTCCGGCCTCAGCCTCCTGAGTAGCTGGGACTACAGGCACCCGCCACCATGCCTGGCTAATTTTTTGTATTTTTAGTAGAGACGGGGTTTCACCATGTTAGCCAGGATGGTCTCAATCTCCTGACCTGCTGATCTGCCCACCTCGGCCTCCCAAAGTGCTGGAATTACAGGTGTCAGCCACGGCTCCCAGCCTCTTGAGATTCTTCTTTAAGAAGCAGAACTCTGGATCCCACTCCAAAATCTGCTAAATCAGCCTGTCTAGAGGTAGGGCTCGGGAATGTGCATTTAAACAAGCATCTCAGGTGAATTTCATCTACACAAAAGTTTCAGCACAGCAAAGCAATTTGAAAAAGGACTGGGTCAAATATTTCTGATGTCCATCTCTACTCTAAAATTCAACAGTGGTTTTCAGTATTTAAGACTTAGAAAAATCCTTTAAGATCTGATAAAAGCAGTGACTCTCCTCCCTGAGAAATATGCAAACAAACAAATATGCATACACATACATTCACAGATACATATATGAAATGTTCCTAGAATTTTAGCAAGCTTATGTACTCAGTTATATATCCCTCTGATGTACATCCATGGACACCCTATAGCCTCATAGTTAAAACCCTTCCAATATTCATGACTTAATAGCGATATTTCAGAGTGAGTGTAGTGATTCACAGGAGCCCTTCTGGGGGGCTTCTGACATTGCACTAAGCCAAAGGTTGCCTCTAAATTAGGACTTCTAACTCAATTTTCAAATTGTTCAAAATAATTGGTATGTCCTTTTTGTTTGTTTTTCTTAACTACCAGGATAGTGTTACCCTGAATTTTCCTTAAATACTTACTTCACCACAGGTATGAGGATGACATGGCTAACCCCTAGGCAAACAGCTGACACTTTCTGAAGACCCTCACTGTAAGGGCTGTTCAGTTCCCAAACTGTTTCAATTATCAAATTATGCTTATAGACATTCCTGCCCATGGAACAAGAGGGTCATGTCTTCCAACAGGAATGATGCAGCCACCTCACTGGTGGAAATCTAGACATTCTTTTCAGAGGACCCAGGAGTGAGCTTGGAGCTGGTTTTCAATCTGCCAAACAATAAAACTGTGTGGTGGCGCCAGGCACTCCTATTAAGGGCTGCTCCATAAATATTCATGGACCATGATAACAACCAGGATATTCCTTCCCAAGTCTGTCTTTCTCAAAGTGACCCAGATGTGTCATGTGGAGGGGGGTCTCTAGCATCCAACAGAGATGAGGTCCTGTACTGCCTAGAAAATTTCTTTACGCTTTTATTTTTAAAAACCTTTCTCCTGCAATCAGAGTGATTTTGGCTTTCATTTGCTATTGGCCTGCCAGCAGTAGCCCCTCTCCAAGTCAGCTCCCTACCTACTTCCTTCCAGTCGATAGGGAACCACTTAACGACATGAACATTAACTAATTTGAAGTTTGCTTTTCATCCCAGCACTAATAGGAGAGGAGGAATGTGTTTCTGTTTGCAAGTTTTCCATGTGGGTTAAGTAAAGATTGTTTGCTCAAGTTTGAAGCTTGGAAGAAAAAGGAAAAACAAGGACCATGCCTCATCTTGTCCTTTGAAGGTAGGCAGAAGGGCCATTGTTCCCCGTGCAGCTGAAACTTGTGGGCTGAGAAACCACTGGAGTCTCCTCTCTGAGGTTTCTGAAAAATTCCCCACACATATCATTGTCAGTAACCGTGGCGGGCTGTTTTGTTTCTCCTTTCATTCCTTATTTATTGCCAAAGCAAATGGCAATGACAGTTGAGAATGGAAAGAGTGGCAAGGATTGAAATATAGAAATAAGGCATTGATATAAACAAGAGAAGTTGCTACAAAGGGAAAGGAGTCCCTTCTCAGAGAGCTCAAAATGCGTTTCAGCATCCAGCAAGGCTGGACAGAAAGCAGTTATTTTTAAAGGTAAACAGGTAAGAAGTGAAGCAGTGAGTCATCCAGAGCTCCAGGGTGGATGTCCACCCCTCTCACAATGAAAGGATTGCCTCTTAGTTCTTTATAGGTAAAACAGGGCCCAGAACAATGGAAAGAAATATGTTTGAAAATAACAATTAGGACATATCATATTGAAGCCAAAGCTAGATGGATTAAAAAATAAATAAATAAAAAAGAACCTACCTTTCAAAATCTCAAGGAAAGGAAAAAAAAAAAAAAAACACCCTTGGAGTGATTCCCTCTCCTTAGCTGTTCAATGGCCAAGCTAAGGATGCCACAATTGATCCGGGGTTTGTTGGAGATTCTGATTTCAAGCGTGGCTTCTTCGTTTCATGGCATATGCAGCATTTTTCATGCTTCTCCTTACATTGTGGTTTTCACAACAACTCAGCAGAACATTCTATTCTGAATGCCCTGAGTCTGTCCCATTTGCAAAGAAAGGGCAACAGAGAGATGAAGTGTTTCAATGTTCCCATCACTGAAAGGATACAATCTGAGGTCTTCAACATGGTCTAACTGGATCTCTGTCATCTGACCCTTGTTTATTGTTCCAGCTTCAAGTTCTAATATTTTGCCCCTTGAACTTTATGATCCAACAATTTCAGAAACATTAATTTCCTCCAAATCACTGCACTGCTTTAGATGTCTATGGGCATTCCGATGACATTCTATCTCCCTGGGCAACCCTCCCTTGGTGCCTTCTCTTCTCTCTGCCTAATCCTTAGCTATCAAGGCATAACTCAGGTGTCATCACATCTAGGAAGTTATTCTTAACACCCTAAACCAGTCCCTCACATGGGATTAAGCACCTGGGCATGACATTCACAGGAGAATTACCATATTTATTTAAACTATTTCTGTGTTTATCTCCTCCACTAAATCATATGTTCCTCGAGGGCATCTTATTTTCTCAGTATCCCCACTGCCAAACAAAAGGTAGGCACTTAATTGAATTTAATGAAATAAAGAGTAGTATAGAGTAGAGGGAAAAGCACTGAATTTAAATTACAAAGGCCTGATAGGCAAGTTTATCTTGACTCCTCAGCTCACCAGCTGAGGCTAGTTTTATTGCTGACAACTTCAATCTTCCTTCATTGCCAGCACAGTTCTTTGGTGAGCTTCATGGCATCGCCCATGTAACCTGGATCTCCATGCCCACTGATCTCCAATTCTGACAGTCTCTGCCCCAAGTCTTATAAGCAGAACAAAATCATTCTCCAATTCCCCCCAACACCCACCTGGTAATAGCCAATAGCTAATATCTAGGGCAGCACTGAATCAAGAACCAGACTCCTTTCCCCAACCAGCCCATCATTCACTCCACAATCCTTCTAGATGACTATCTTGAATTTGAATTTTCTGTAACAAGCATGAAATAAATCTATATATGTGGTTTCACTTATTGGATTGAGTCTTATTCACCTCTCTTTGTAATAACCCAACATGTTCAAAACATAGGGTACACTTGATGAACATGAACTAATTAAGTATAACTTCTGTGGTTCCTTTTGGGCTTACGATTAGATGTTTTGTGACAGAAACAGATAGTTGTCTATCAAGATGTATGTCTCACCCTTTCTGATGCTGAGATATTTCTGAGAAGAGGCTTAGCTAGAGACTGACTTAGAGACTTTCCAGCACTCCTTGCATCTATAGTGGCTATGTGTTTTTATCAACAAAATGGAAATAGAGGAAATATGTGTCTTGCCTGATCCAAGGCTTTAAAGAAGTGGTTGTAACTTCTTCATGCACTTCAATTCCTGCTGGTTCAATGTAGATGAAAAATGGGCCCTATAGCAAGCGTTAACCAACTTTTTCTGGGTAATAAATTCTTTATGCTTTATTGCCATATGATCTCTGTCATAACTGCTCAACAATGCCTTTATAGTGCAAAGTAGGCATGGCAATACATAAACAAGAATTTGGAACTGTGTTTTTAAAAATTTTTATTTACAAAAAAAGAGATGAAGGGCCATATGTAGCCCATAGGCTGTAAGTTACCAACTCCTGCCTTAGAGGATAGCAGACCATGAGATAGAAGGCTGAATTCTTGAATCCCTCATGGAGAAAAATCAACAACACAGATCAGGATTGCCTGTCTTGGCTTGTTACATGAATATAATAGGAAAATTCTATTTTATTAGGCCATTGGAATTTTGGTGCTTATTTATTAAATAAGTTAGCTTTGCCTTTACTAATACATGATGCTAGTACAAGGTTTATAACTTGAGGATTAAATATGTAGAGTTAAAAGAGCCACCAAGATAAGCTTAAAGCAGAGCCACATGATTTGGTTCTCCTACTTACCAGTTCCCTGACCTATGCTGGCTCCTAGAATCATTTATTCTTTCTCATGTTTTTCCTCCTTTGCTACTTTCCTGTACCCTCTCTCCTAGCTTATTAGGCAGTCAATTAAAAAGTGGTAAAACATGATATATTTTATTCCATAGGCCTGTGTTAAAACTGTACTAGCCATACTTAATGTACATAGATATCATTATATCTTTAAATTTAGATGTAAGATGTCACAGATAACCTGGTAAAGAAAAATAGCCACTATTTGCTCTTCACAAATGCATTGCTATCCTCTATGGCCAAAGCTGTGTGGATATCTATGGGCATAGTAAAAGATCTAGCCCCTTCTTTTGCATTAATGTCCATTAGATGTTCTTAAAGCAATGCAGCTTGAACCCAATGTGCCTCAGAGTGTAGTAAAATTCTCATTTAACTTCTAGTTACAAAGCTATCTCAGCCTAGGCATCAAACATGTGTCCAAATTTTGGTGGTGGCAAGGTGGACAGGGCTGGGATATAGAAGGTGGTCAACACTTCAAAAAGGAACAAGTTTAAGGGACAGGTACATTCTGATCTCATAAGCATTCCTGTCCTCTGACAACTAAAGGATTGTTAGTGCGGGGGACAGATTTCTTAGCATGCTTTTAGTTGCAAGTAATAGCAATTCAAAACTCATATCAACTGATTTAAACCACAAAGGGAATTATCTTATTTGTGTGAAAAAAGCTAGTATGGAATTTAGAAATAGTTCGTTCAGGACTCTGGCTCCATTTCCTTGTCATTCTCTTTTCTCTATCCTCCTATATATGACATCTATATCTTCAAGTGACTTCCCTTGTGGCTGCAGCAGTCTCAGATCTTATAAACACATATCATATCATTCAAGGTAAGAGAGGGGTCCTATCCTTTCTCCAATCATGGATAAAATAATCCCAGGTTCTGACTTGACTAACTTGGTTGGGTGGATGGCATTTGTTGATTGGCTTAGTATGGTTTCTGCCCATCCCTGACACAATTACTGTGCCAAAGGGGATGAATGAATGCTGACTGGCTTTTGCTACTTAAGGCCCACCCAATCTGCATGCTAACCGTGTAATGGGGGAAGGGTGGAATGGCTCTGGGAAGATAATTACAATGTCTACCACACTAAGCGAAGGTCAACGCATCATGTGCCTTCCCTCGAGTTTCTTTAAGATCCTCATGCAGGTAGATTTCATACTACTCTATTCTACCAACTCACCAGAGTCCCGGCTTTGCTGCTTTGTAAGAAATCAACCCCATTTTGCTGCTGAGGGAACTGATAATCAGGGAGTTAAATCAGTTTCCTAAGACATTGCAGCTGGTAAGTGGTACAGCAAAGGCATAACCACAGCTCCACCAGACTCAGTCTCATTTTCTTATGCCCCACCCTGTGTCTCCCACCTAAAAAATAAGCTGAAGTTAGAGGATGGCCTGCACATTAGGAGATGTCCCAGTCATATGCAAGCCCTAGCTGAACAGTGGGCTCTGTTCTGCTCTCTGACATGCAATGTTTACTGCGAGTATAGAACTTACAGTTTGAGTCTGGAAGAAAATGCATAGTGAGTTATCGTAATCATCATTTCAGTGTCTAAGTACAGTTGACCTTTGAAAACATGAGTTTGAACTATGCAAGTCCACTTACATGCAAATTTTCTTCTTCCTCTGCCACCCCTGAGAAAGCAGGACCAATTCCCCCTCTTTGTCTTCCTCCTCAGCCTACTCAACATGAAGACAAGAACAAAGACCTATGATGATCCACTCCTACTTAATACATAGTTAACATATTTTCTCTTCCTTATGATTCTCTTAATAACATATTCTTTTATCTAACTTACATTATTGTAAAAATACAGTACATGTAATACATGTAACATACAAAATACATGTTAATAAACTATGTTATCAGTAAGATTTCAGGTCAACACCGGGCTATTAGTAGTTAAGTTTTGGGGAGTCAAAATTTAAACATGGAGTTTTCTACTATGCTGGGGGTCAGCACCCCCAACACTCTGTTGGTCAAGGGTCAGCTACACCATCTTTGCATTGAATAGAGAATGTGTGTATATGAGTATGTGCATGTGTGTATAGTTTATTTCCCAGTATTTTTAAAATATCATTCTTAGCAAACTATCACAAGAACAGAAAACCAAACACCACATGTTCTCACTCATAGGTGGGAACTGAACAATAAGATCACTTGGACTCAGGAAGGGGAACATCACACACGGGCCTATCATGGGGAGGGGGGAGGGGGGAGGGATTGCATTGGGAGTTATACCTGATGTAAATGATGAGTTGATGGGTGCAGCACACCAACATGGCACAAGTATACATATGTAACAAACCTGCACGTTATGCACATGTACCCTACAACTTAAAGTATAATAATAATTAAAAAAAAAAAGTAAAAAAAAAAAAAATATATATTAACAACAGGTGGCCTTTCTGGGTTCTCTTTAATTGTAAAAAAAACCTTCAGAAGTCTATGATACATCACTAGCCTCCCTTCAGAAGCCCTCCAGTGTGTCTTATAAAATCATCCCAGGGTTGTAACATGCACCGACCCCAGCCTGTCCAACTTGTCATTTCCGAATTAGTGTCCAGACAGACCCACACTTAACACAGGCTTAGTACTTGAGGAAGGCTGAGATTATGCACCCTGAAACCTTCTCCAGCTTTTAACTGCATCATCTGCAATGATCTGGGTAGTAGTATGATGTGTTTAGAGTATGTGAGTACAGATTAAGGCTAAGCATAAGATGTGAGAGAGAGATAATCCCAAATTGGCTACTCAGTTTGCATACTTAACATGATTTTGGGCAGGTCATCAACCTCTCTAAACCTCTTACCTGTAAAACTGGAATAATAATAATAATAACGTACACTTCATGTGGTAATCATAAACATAATGTCTGACACATAGCATTCAAAATTGTTCACTGATACTATTATTATAAATATTAATGCTTATTACTCATGATTATTTATCAGAATTGGCATTTTACTCAAATGACCAAATTCACTCCATTTTCTTACTGCTGGACATTAGCTAGATATAATTTCCTTCTGCTTAATATACTGCCTTTGGGAATCTAATCTTTAATTTAAATAAAGTTCTATTTTCCTCTTTCATATTGAAGGAAAATAAACAAACAGATGCAAAACATATTTTTTAATATCTTGGCTATTTACTTTCTGATTTATAGTATCTAGTACTGTGCTTAAAGTTTTTATTCCATTTCTTTTTTTGTTAGCTAAAGTAGCAGATCTTCTTATAATTTCCTTCAGCAATTTCTTTTGATACTTATCAAGTCCAAGCAACTAAGACACAAGCCCTGTAAGGAAAATGTCATCTCTATATAGTCAATAGACC